GAGTGAGAGGCTTCCAACTTTGTTGTTCTTCTTAAGCAGTGCTTTGCTTATCCTGGGTCTCTTTCCTTTCCATATAGAGTTTGTAATAGTTTTTTCCATCTCTTTAAAGAATGCCATTGGAATCTGAATTGGGATTGTGTCATATGTGCAGATTGCTTTGGGTAGTATTGACATTTTCACAAAGTTCAGTCATCCTATCCTGGAACATGGTATAGTCTTCCATTTTTTGTAAGTCTCTTTGGGTTTCTTGTAGTAGTGTTTTGTAGTTTTCTTTGTATAGGTCATTTATTTCTCTGGTTGCATTTATTCCTAAATTTTTTATCCTTTGGGTGGGTATTGTAAATGATATTGCTTTCCTAATGTCCTTTTCAGTGCTGTCATTGTTACTGTAGAGGAATCCAACTGATTTTTGTATGTTGATCATGTACCTTGCCACTTTGTTGAATCTTCCAGTGAATTTTCAGTTTCTGTCCATTGAGAGTAATATAGGCTGTTGTTTTTGTGTATATGCTCTTAATTATGTTGAGGAATTTCCCTTCAATTCCTACTTTGTTGAGTGTTTTTATCAGGAATGGATGTTGAATTTGTCAAATGCCTTTTCTGTATCAATCAATATGATCATGTGGTTCTTTTCCTTTTTAAAATTGTATTTATGTGGTGGATAACATTGATCGTTTTTCTAATGTTGAACCATCCTTGCATCCCTGATAAGAATCCCACTTGGTCGTCATGGATTATTTTTTTTGATGTGTTGCTGAATTTTGTCTGGTTACCTTTTACTGTCAGTCAGTAGATGTGTTATTCTAATTATTCTTTGTTTCTCAATAATTTCTAATAAAGCAGTTCAAGTTTCCTTGTCAATTTTTCTCTCTTTTCTGAGTTATACACAAAGTGTTACCTGGATGCTCTGTTGTACATAGGGTCGCTATGAGTCGGTACCAACTTGATGGCACCTAACAACAACAATAAAGGAGATATAGTATAAAGAAGTAACAGTAATAATTATTTAAAAGGCAAATATGTGTGTGTGAAAAGAACTTTGGAGATCTGTTTCATTAACAATTGTTGTTTTATGCCATCAAGTCGATTCCAACTCGTGTGTTACAGAGCAGAAATGCCCATGGGATTTTCTTTACCAAAACAGAATGCCAGTTTTTTGCCCTCAGTGTTATTGGTGAGTTTGAACCGCCAACCTTTTGGTTGGCAGTTGAGCACTTAACCACTGCATCACCAGAGCTTCTATTTATAAAGATGACAGTCCGGAAAACTCTATGGAACAGAGGTACTCTCTAACACATGAGTTCATTACGAGTTGAAATCAACTATCCCAATGGGGTCTATGCCCACAAAGGGGGCTTCAGAAAGTTTGTGTGAAATGGAATGAAAAAAATGGGATTTTTCCAAGAACTTTTGGAAGCCCCCTTGTATGTGTGTGATTGGTGATAAAATATTCACCCCGTCAGTCCCAGCTACCTGTGTCATCAGTGTAACTTTTTACTGTGAATTCTTTGAGCAGGTCCTCCGTGAATTGGTTATCTGGGCACTTACGCATTGAACTTCTTTAACCAAAAGTTCTAGTTCCATGGGAGATTTCTTCTTTCTTTACTTCTGTGAGATGCGAACACTGACAACTGCTGTGTTTTCTTCTAGGCAATTATGTAAATATCCCCATGAAGTCTTCTCAGAAGAGAACTTCAGACTACTGAAACACCACCAGCTCTCTGGACTTAATCAAGAGGAATTAGCTGTGCTCCTCACCCAGAGTGACCCTTTCTTTTTGCCTGAGGTGAGTTCTGATTCCTCCGTTATAGGGGAGACGCCCTTCCCGACCTTGAGACTGTAGAGTAGTGGGGGAGGGCCAGCTCTGGGGCTGTGCAGGTGGCAGATGCCAGCAGTTTCCCTCCTGTTTGAGGTTTTGTAACAAGTTGAGTCTGAAATGCCTCGTTGGCCAGGCTTCTAGAGAGAACCTGGTGTGATCAAGTAGGGTCTGAAGATATAACAGTGCAAGGGCTGAGCAAGACTTTCCATCCGGATGGCCTGGCGGAAGAGATGGGATCTGAGAAGAGGTTTGGAAGATGGAGCGTGTTGGTACCGACTTAGCTTTTGTGAGTCCTGGAGGCACAGTGGTTAAACATTTCTCTACTAACCACTCAGCCCTCTGCAGGAGAAAAGAACTGACGAACCCTCTACTTCCTGTGAAGATGGTTGTTGTTAACGTGCTGTAGAGTGGGTGCCAACTCACTGTGACCCTGGGCCCAACAAAACATGCCCCCGTGTCCTGCACCATCCACACAGTACCTACGTTTGAGCCTGTGGGTGCAGTCTTTGTGTCAGTCCATGTTGTTAAGGGTCTTCCTCTTTTTTGCTGACCCTCCACTTCTCCAGGGACAGTTGTTGTCACTGTTAGTGCTGTTGAGTTGGTTCTGACTCATAACGACCCTGTAGAGGAGCAGCTGGTGAGTTTGAACTGCCGGCCTTGCAGTTCAAACCAACTTTGCAGTCCAGTGCTTTATCCTACAGCGCCACACCAGGACTCCAATTTCCTGTGGTGTTGTAGGATCAGCGCTAGACCACAAGTTCAAAAGTTCAAACTCACCAGCTGTTCCTCGGAAAACCCTATTATTGTTGTTGTTGTTGTGTGCCGTGGAGTCGGTTCCGACCCATAGCCACCCTGTACAGGGTTTCCGAGGCTGTAAATCTTTACGGGAGCAGAAAGCCTCTTCTTTATCCTGTGGAACAGCTGGTAGTTTCGAACTGCTGACCTTGCGGTTCGCAGCCCAATTCGTAACCACTACACTACCAGAGCTCCTTTGGAAGCACTATACAGGGTTGTTACGTGTCGGAACCAAATTAACGGTAGTTAACGACAACAATCTTCACAAAACAAATCCCCAGATGTTTCTTCCAAGATGCTACTGAGAAGGCTTGAACCACTAACCTTTAAGCTAGGAGGCAAGCACAAACTGTGCTGTCCCAGCGCCTTACCTGGTATACCAACTTGTCAAACTAAAATGCTTATTACCAGAAGAAATGCTTGCTTCCTTTGTACTGGTCTAATTAGGACTCCTGGTGTGGCGCTGTAGATTAAGCACTTGACTTCGAATCACATGTTGGTGGTTCAAACCCACAGCTGTTCACCGGAAGCCATGTACAATGTTGCTATGAATCAGAATCGACTTGATGATACTTAACAACAGTTAGGGGAGTAAAGAGCTCTGGTGGCAGTGTAGATGAAACACTGGACTGCTAACTGCAAGGTTGGTGGTTCAAACTGTAAGGCCCCAACTGATTTTGCCTAGCTACTTGACCAAACTTTAGTCAGGCTTCAAGAAATCTTCCAAATAAACTAGGCCTTAGTTCCCTAGTTCCCACCAAGGACAAGGCCAGACTTCAAAACTTCAATATCAGAAGGGATCCTTGAGAAATTTGTAATGGTCAAACTGACCCAGGCAGTGATAATACAACAGCTGCAAACACCTGTCTTAGGAAAACATCCTGACCACACAACAATTACAATTAATTGTTCTATCCTGTGCCAAAGCCAATTAACTTATAGATTAGAATGCTTGCTTCATGCCAAAACCAGTAAAAATATAAATTATGAATAAGTAACCAATCAGAAACCATACATATGCTGTTGCACAAATCTGCCCCCTGAAACCCTATAAAAACTTGTGTGTATAGTGAGTTGGGGTCACCTTTTTCTCCTGTTTTAGGAGTCTGTGAAGGTGGACCCTGGCGTGTTGGAAATAAAACTCTTGCTATTGCATCGAACTCGTGTCCTGATGATCTTTTTGGGGTCTCCTACTGGATTAGGCCACAAGGGGGCCTAACAAAACCTACCAACTGCTCTATGGGAAAAGATGAGGCTTTTTGCTCCTGTAAAGATTTATAGTCTCTATGCATGGGAATGGATAGTTTTTTAATTAGGGCAATAACATTCTTCCTTGTCATCAGTCTGGCAGTAGGGCTAAGTATCCTCTGAGCAGTTGGCAAACGTTCTTTTGGATTAGACCCTCTAAGAGAGTGATTCTTCAACTTAAGCCAGTCTCAGAATCACCTGCTGAGAACCACGGATTGTTGGGCCCATCTGTCTTGGAGGATTTTATCTTAAGACAATATAAATAAATATTCAGGTTTGTCATGGATAAATGCAAGTAAGACTTCACAAGACTCAGAACCAGCAATTAACAGTGTTAGTTTAAATGTCCAGATCTTTAGACTTCACCTTTAACGGTTGGTCTTGAGGAGGAGATTTGACCACCCGTCGAGCTCAGAGGAGGTTCTCTGAAGTTAGGATCTGAGACCTGGCTGTGGTGAGCTGTAGCTCAGCAGGCTACTCAGACGTCAAACAAAAGAGGGGAGATCTTTTGTTCTGTCTTCTTGGCAAGTGAGCAGAAACCTATCGCTTTATATACCATGTGTGCTGTTGTGTTCAACTATATAGGCAGGCATTAGACGTTGTGATTTTAATTTCAAGTCACGAAGATAGAGCCACTAGCATAATGTATGAGTCACACAGTATTTTTTTTTTATTTTTATAATGCGTTAATGGAGCCCTGGTGTGGCACTGTGGGATAAAGCACTGGATTACCAGATTGGTTTGAACCGCAAGGGCATTGGTTCAAATTCACTAGCCGCTCTTCAGAAACCCTATACAGGGTTGCTATGAGTCAGAACCACAAAAGTGCTTAAAAACAACAACATTGCACACTTATTAGATTATGTTGTCAGGCCAGTTCCTGCTTGAACCACTGACCTTCCAGTTAGCAGTTCAGTGTTCGTCCTACAGTGCCACACCAGAACTCCAGGTGTGCAACAACATTATGAAAACGTTTGAAATACTCTGACAATGACCAGATGGGCACCGATAGACTTGCTTGATGCAGGGTTGCCACAAACCAACCATTTCTACAAAAATTTGTAAAAGGCATTATCTATGAAGCACAATAAAAATGAGATCTGCTTAGAATTGTTAAGTTTTATTTCCAGTTAAGGGCATTGTTGTATGACATTCATGTTTTGCTAATTTATAGAAATTTGAATTATCGCCCATTGTTGCTGTTGTTGTTAAGTGCCGTCGAGTTGGTTTTGACCCAAATCGACCTGGTGTAGAGTTTCCAAGGAGCAGCTGGTGAACTTGAACTAGTGACCTTGTCATTTAAACCAACTTTGCAGTCCAGTGCATTAGCCCATAGCACCATACTAGGACTCCTTAGGGCAAGATGTATTTATGCTCTTGTTTACAATGCTGTGTTGATTACTTAGAAATTACGGGAATTGTGTAGTGACAGTATTTATGTTTTTCTGATAAAGACTTTATTAATGCTACATTTAGTTACATACAGATGCATTGCCCAGTTTCAGGAAAGTATGACATATTTTATCAATTTCCCAGGTTAATACAACTTTCCAAAGACTTCTGGTTAATGGTTAGAAAGCGTTATAGAAATATGTTTCTAGTTCTAAGTTCTGGAAGCGTAGTGGTTATGAATCAGGCTCCTAACTTCCAGGTCAGCAGTTCGAAACTACCAGCCATTCCACAGGAGAAAGATGAGGCTTTCTGCTCCCATGAAGATTGACAGCCTCAGAAACCCTGTGCAGGGTCGCTATGAGTCGGAACCGACCTGACGGCACACAACCACCACCATTTCTAAGTTCAGAATTTCTCTATTTTTAACTTCACATTATAAGTACTTGTACATAGGTGTTTAAAAGCATTATGCAATAGAAGTATACATACTGGTGATTTATATGTATGTTTAAAAGCATGAAAAAAACTCAACAACAGCATCACAGAGGTGTACATACTGGTGGCTTCTAAACGCCTGTGTAAGTCACCAGTGTGTATACTTCTATAATGCTCTTTGGAGTCTTGGTGTAGTGTTGTGAGCTAATGCGCTGGACAGCAAAGTCGTTTGAAACCACAAGATTGATGGTTCAAGCTCACCAGCCGCTCCTTGGAAACCCTGTACAGGGTTGCTGTGGGTTGGAAACGACTCAACAGCACTTAACAACAAAAACAATGGATTGCTCTTTACACTGGTGTGACCTTGCTTAAACACATCAACATCACACTTTATATTTTGTATAATACTTTTATGTATATTTTATTTGATCTGCTCAACAACTTCATTTGTTGTTGTTATTAAGTGCTGTTGAGTCAGTGCCGACTGTATAGGGTTTCTGAGGAGCGACTGGTGGGTTTGAACCATTGACCTTGAGGTTAGCAGTCCGGTACTTATATAGCACCATGTAACTTGATTTAGGAAATGTTAAATGGCAGACAGTTTGGAGTTGAGTTATAAAAATGATAACAGATTTTAATTGGAAGGTAATTGAAGGGCTTTCGTCAAGAGTTTAGCATTGGAGAAGAGATGCCAAGGGCTTGAGAAAAGGAGCAGTCTCTGTTTATAAGAAGCTTTGAGAAAGTTTATTGGAAAGAAAGGAACAGGTCCCAGAAAGTTATCATTTAAGGGAAGGCAGGTCTCTGAGACATGGGGTAAGTTTATGACTGGACCACGTGTTCTTTCTTTTGTTTTTGGCTTGAATGTGATGATGGCTGAAGAGAAGGAGGGTTTGAAAAGTAACCATTTGAGTAAAGTTTATAGATGGAAGGTGGTTCCTGGGTGATGCAAATGGTTTGCATCTAACTACCCACCTCAAGGTTAGTGCTTCAAACCCACCCAGTGGCAATGTAGTACAAAACTTCTGGCGGTTTGTTCCCGTAAATATTGCGGGTGAGGAAACTCAGTGAGGCGGTTCTACTCAGTCACACGAGGTCTCCAACAAGTCGGAAGTGACTTGATGTCACTTAGTAACAACTCGCCTCCCATTCCTCCCTCTGCAGATCTGCAAGACCTACAAGGGTGAGGGCCGGCGGCAGATCTGCAGCCAGCAGACGCCCTGTGAAAGGTTACACATCTGTGAGCACTTCACCCGCGGGAACTGCAGTTACTCCAACTGTCTGCGCTCCCACAACCTGCTGGATAGGAGGGTGCTGGCCATCATGAGGGAGCACGGACTCAACTTGACCGTGGTGCAGAACATTCAGGACATCTGTAACAGCAAGCACTCCCGTGGCCGGAAGATTCTGCCGGGCAGGAGAGGTGAGAGCGGGGCGGGGATGTGGGCAGGGTGAGGGGGCTGGAACATGGGCACACAGGTGAGGTGAAGAGCCACCACTTTCAATGACTGAAACTTTCTAGCGAACAGAAATTGCAAGCAAAGAAAAGTTTTATAGAATGTCTTAGTTCTCATGCTGCTGTATCAGAACTACCACAAGGGGGCGTTTTTTACAGACAGACACGTTCTCACAATTTAGAAGGCTGGAGGTCTGACTTCAGAGTGCCCAACGGGAGTGGAAGTTTTCTCACTTTCTGTTTGGCATCTGTCTCTCCCCTTCACTGCTTGCTTAATCTGCTCTGTTATGTCTCAAAAGGGATTGGCTTAGAACACACCCTGCATGAATACAGTCTAATTAATGTGTCAAAGAAAACCTGTTCTTAAGTGGCATGATAACCACAGCACAGGGATGGGACTTGGTATCGACAGTGCATAATTTGGGGGGATTCAGTTCATTCCACCACACTGTGTGTGAGAGACATTTTCATTCATTAGCTTTTCTAGTTCATCTACTTAACCCTTCTGGTGATGCAAGCAGGTGTTTGCTGTGACCACGTTACCGCTGTCCTGGTTCAGAAGAGAAAGGACCAAGCACCTTTTGTTCCTTCCTTACCGCATGCAAGCTATGAACCATGCACCTTGCATGCAGGTTACACGTGTGTGTGCTGCACAAATACACCACACACATGTACATACATATACACATACTATACATACCCTGGTACACAAACCACACACATGCACATAACAAACACATGCCTCACATATGACGGGGCTTCAAAAAGTTGGTAGAAAAAGTTCATTGTCTTCTCATTTCATCCTTCCATGAACATTGTGAAGCCCCCTTGTATATTCTCACCTCACATCTCCTGCAAACACCCCACACTCACATATATATATCACACACAAGGACTTTTACCCAGAGTGCACAGAGAGAACCTTCCCCTAGAAGGAGCTCCTTGAGCCCCCTAAATGATGAGACTCATTTGTGATATTTGTTCTAGGAACACTAGAAAGCAGAGACAGACAGCATCTCTGCAAACCCTAAGGGCACAGATTCAATTATGCAAACTCTAATTTTCACTACTCTGTTTTGCTTTGCTTTTCCCAGCTCCTCCCTCAGGCCACCGAGCTGTTGCATACAGAGGTAGATGCAAAAGTCAAGATAGACTTTTGCAGGACCGCCAGGAATTTCTTCTATCAAATTCTAACTCTTCCCAAAGGCCCTACACGCCCAATTCCGATAAAACCGGCAATAGGTCCACGCTGGATGGCTTGGCTATGGAAGGTCTCATCTACAAATTCGCGCATTTTGAGAGTCAGGATAGCTCTTCACCTTTCCCTGTCTCATCCAAGGCCACCAATCTTGCAGGCACAGGTCAAATGAGAACAAGCCACAGGTTTTCTGAGAATGGCAGTGTAGACGATCTCTTTTTTGGGGATCAAGACAACACACATCCTCTTTCTGATTCAACACCAGCCTCCAACTGGAAGGATCCCATGGCCAAAGCAAATACATTTTCCACCTTGCTCCAAAAAAGCACAGGTTTGCTTTCCTCGGATTACGTGGATACCAAGGATCAAACTGGAAACCAAAATGCCCAGTGTGTCCCATGTTTTAACAATACAGTTGATGGAATGGCCCCAGATCTAACTTCCACAAAATCTTCAAGTTCCAAGATCACAGTAGGTAGAAAGAGAGAAGAATCATTACCTAGGGACCAGAACACCAGAACCACTCATGGGAATCAACGAGCCGCTAGTGAAATTACTGAAGACGACCCAGGCACAGCATTTAAGAAAAATTCTGTTTCTTCAAGGATATATTGGTCTACCAAATATGTCCAGAACACAGCGAATGACCCTGTGAGAGTAAAGGATGAAACTACAGATGAACATAAAAATGGTGCTACTGGCTTTGGCTTAAGAGAGGATAAAGCCGTGCTTCCCTCTGGAATTCAGAGTCTGCAAACCAAGGGGCTTCCCACACCTGGGAAGACCAAGGTCCCAGCACACGTCAGCAGTTCAACAACAGTAGTATCACCTTCCTCAAGCGACAGAGCTGTAGCCTGTGGGATCATTGGTCAGAAAACAGCTCACAACTCCGGGACCCCTACCAGTGGACTTACCACCAGTAAAGCCCCCAACTTGGCTCAATGTAAGTCATTGTAGGCAAAAGAGGGTTGCCAGATGTTATGCAAGCAGTGGAGAAGAGGTGGTTGGAGGGCATTGGTTAAGGGTTTTGGTTAAGGGGAGGTACTGTTGAGGAGATGAACTCATGAAGGCAGGGAAGGACCACCCAGGAGAAGCAATGAAATCAGCTGCTACATTTATCAAAATCGTTGGATGGTTTAAGAAGTAAATAGTACTCCTAGGTGTTTCTTTTCATGGGGAACTATCTCATGAGCAACATATGAATCACAGGAGTTTTCTGGAGCAGTATCTGTGCTTCCATCCCAGTGTGAGGTCAGGTATCTTGGTTTTTGGTATAAACACTGATATTAACATGCAGGCATCCTTTTTTGTTTTGTAGGTTCCATTTCCAACGTTACCAGTATCAAGTCTTCCTGGGTAGATGAAAAGTCGGAAGAAATTTGTCTTGATTATCTACAGAAGAGCTGTCAAGACAATAGTGAGTGCCCTAAGGACTTTCTAACATAGCTGATGACAAATACGACCAATATTATTGAGCATTTTAGTATATGCCAGATGCAACACTGTGAGTTTCACATGCAACGTCTTCTTTTTTTTAAAGTTTTTATTGTGAACTGAGTGATAGTTTACATGGGAGAACATCGGCTTTACACCATCGTTTCATTGCAATGATTACAATCTCCTCTGTGCATCATTATTCAACAGTATTTGCTTCTATTTGCCCCCCCCCCTTTTTTTTTTTTTTTGAGGTGGGATGTACACAAAAACACTCAGGAATGTACAATAATTTAAACAACCAAAGGGCACATTCTGTAAACCTGCCTCCTGGCCGCCAGCACCCAGTCCCTCTCTTTCCGTGAGTCCAGAGTCCTCAGCTCCTCCCTCCCTTCACACATGCAACCTCTTTGAACCTCCTCTGAACCCTGGAGTTAGAGGTTGTTGTTAACCCATTATGTTGTTGTTGCTATTAGGAGCCATCAAGTCAGTTCTGACTCCCAGCGACCCTATGCACAACAGAATGAAACACTTTGCACCAGCCTCACAATTGATACCTTAAACCCATTGCTACCACCACTGTCAGTCCATCTCCTTGGGGAGCGGGGTCTTCCTCTTCAACGAGAACCCTCCACTTTACCAAGCTTGGTCCCTCCTGATAACATGTCCGATGTATGAGAGACAAATTCTTGCCATTCTTGCTTCTAAGGAGCATCTGGCTGTGCTTCTCCTGAGACAGCCGTGTCTTAATTATCTAGTGCTCCTGCGATGGAAATATCACAAGTGAATGGCTTTAACAAACAAAAATTTCTTCTCTCATAGTTTGGTGGTGTGGTGGTTATGTGCCGTGGAATCGGTTCTGACTCACAGTGACCCTGTATGGGAGCAGAAAGCCTCATCTTTCTCCCACGGAACAGCTGGTGGTTTTGAACTGCTACCTTTGTGGTTCACAGCCCGATTCATAACCACTATGCTACCAGAGCACTCTTAATTTAGGAAGCTAGAAGTGTGAATTCAGAATGCCAGCTCTACAGTAAGATTTTCTCTCTCTGTTGACTCTCGGGGAAGGTCCTTGTCTCATTTCAATAGGTGGCCCTTTGAGATCTCTATGCGTCTTGGCATCAGTAGTCCCCTGGGCCTAGGAGGGTCTCAGCACAGGGATCCTGGGGCCAAGGGACCTGCTTTCTTTCTCTCTTTCTTTCTTCCTTCCTTTCTTTCTTAAATGTTTTATTATGAATTATGTGATAGTTTACATGTGAGAACATTAGTTTTACATTCATCCTATCATATATCGTTTAATTGCCATGGTTACAATCCCCTCCATGCATCATCAACCAACCAAAGGGTATACCCTACAAGCCTGCCCACCCCCCAGTCGTCAGCACACAGCCCCTCTCTCTCTCTCTGTGTCTAAAGTCCCCAGCTGCTCCATCTCTCCACATCGTTGTCTCTGCCTCCATCTCAGGCATCACTGCTTCTCTGGGTAGGGTTCTGCTCTCCGCTCTTCTCCCTTGATGGTCCTAGGGACTTCTGCTCCTAGGCTGAAAAGTTAATCACTTCCCTCCTTGCTACAAAATATCTACCTTTACATTTCCAACCCTCACAAGCAGTCCCGATAACAATTTTTCACTGTTGTATCTCAAGTGGCT